CGGGTGGGGCCCCCCCCCCCCCCCAGCTAGGCTCCCCGGGGACCCGGTGGGGCAGCCCTCCCTGCAGGCCTCAGGAGATGTGAGGCTGGACACCCAAACCCACAGGCCGGCACAGGTGAGCGTGGGGCTCGGGCTGCCAGGGCCACCCTCTTGTCGGGGTCCTCAAGTGGCTGCCGTTGTGAGGGGACGACAGGCAGGAAAAGCCAGACCCTGTCCTGGTGGGGGAGGGGCGGAATCCGAGATGCCCGCAGGGCCCCTGGCACTGCCCAGCGCGGGCAGGGAGACCCCCAGCACCCAGGGGCCTCCGAGGGAGGGAGGTTCGGTCGGCCGCAGCTGTGGTCTGGCCCATCCTGCCTGGGAGGCCCACCCTCCTGTCTGTTACGGGGGCGCACGGGGCTGCTGTGTGAACCCCTGGGGGGAGCTCCAGGAGCCAGAGAGACTTCTCCTTGTGGGGGTACTGGGGGGCTGCTAGGGGTCTGGAAGGTAGAAGTTCTCTTTCCCAGGGCCCCTTTGAAGCTCCCCACCTGTCCAGTGGGAGCCACAGCTCCGACGGTGCCCCCCCCCAAGATTCCCTGCTGGCCTGGGGTAATCACTCACCCATCTCACAGGTGGGAAAACTGAGGCTCAGTGAGGGGCACGGAGCAAATGCAGGGCCAGGCTGGGATAAACTGCAACTCTGCCCCCTTGGCTTCTGAGACAAGGCTAATGTTGTTTTAACCTGTTTTGGGTTATTTTTTTCCAAAATGTTCTGATGACAATAGTCATTCCTGACTTTTGAAAAAAATTACGAACGTACCACAAGGCCAGGGAGGAAAAGAAACCCCCATTTTGCAGTCGGCGCCTGTCTCCTCCCCTCCCCCCATTTGCTCCTTTGTCCTGAGACCCTCGCAGGTGCACACTGGGGTCCCCACGCACGTCCCTGGGCACACACCGGCTGCCTGGCTCTCCCGCTCACCACCCCGTCCTGCCACCACTAGGTCCTCAGGGGCAAGGAGTGTCCTCGAGAGGGGTCTTCCTGAAGTCGACTCAGGTGGGAACAACTCTAGCATCCTCCCCTCACCCTTCGCACGCCCCTTGGAGGAGGGGAGAATCGGGGTGAGGTCCTACCTCGGTTTCCCCTCCTGGCTCCGTTCCCTGAGCAAGGCTCTCGTGGGTAGCCCCATAACTCAGTTTCCCCACGCTGGGTCTCCATCCCCCTTCCTTGTCTAGGCTACAGACCCTGGCCGCTCCCTCCTGACCCCCTCCTCCAGCAGAGGCAGCCGCGATGGGCGCTGGCGGCCCCCGGCCGGGCGCGGGCCCCCCAGACGGCGGCTGGGGCTGGGCGGTGCTGGGCGCCTGCTTCGTGGTCACCGGCTTCGCCTACGGCTTCCCCAAGGCCGTGAGCGTCTTCTTCCGCGCGCTCATGCGCGACTTCGGCGCGGGCTACAGCGACACGGCCTGGGTGTCCTCCATCATGCTCGCCATGCTCTACGGCACCGGTCAGCGCCCCCTCGCGGATCCCTGCCCCCCTCCGGGGCCCAAGATTGAGGGTCTGGGGTCAGGACCCAGGAGACACCCGACACCCCGCCCCCGGGCATCCCCCGGGCCCCTCGGGGCGGGGCGCGGAAGCCTCTTCCTGCCCGTGGAAACGCTGGCACCAGAGAGAGGGGAGGAGAGGGCAGGAAGCGGCTGGAGGTGGATCCCGCGCCCGAGTGGCTGACCCAGCAAATCTGGCCAGCAGGCAGGGTCCCTGCATTCCTGCCAAAAGACCCACACCCGCCTACGTTACAGGTGGGGAAACTGAGGTCAAAGTAAGATTCCCGCTCCCCGAAGCCCTAGCCACCTCTGCGGATAGGGGAGATGCTGCAGTTTTCCTGGCCAAGCAGCGAGGGGTGTAAGGATGAGGGTGGGGCAGCCTGGGGAGAAGCGCAGCCCAAGCAGGATTCCAGCTGTGAAGATACAAAGGGAGTAGGGCCCACCCCTTCCGCTCTGGGTTCTGTGTTCTCAGGAGGGTTGGGGATGGCGGCTCTGGACCAGGACAGGTCCCTCCACTTCGTACCCTGGAGGACGCACAGCCTTGGTCTATCCCAGCCAAGCTGTGTGACCTTGGCCAGACACTGCCCTCTCTGAACCGGCGGTGACCGTATCCCCTTGAGCCGTCTTCCACGGCGGGGAGGTGCAAAGTCTGGAGTGTCCACTGGAGAGGAGATTGGTCCAGCCGGAGCGGTGACCCTGCCCTGCCCACAGGCCCAGTGTCCAGCATCCTCGTGACCCGCTTTGGCTGTCGCCCGGTGATGCTGGTGGGTGGGCTGTTGGCCTCGGCTGGCATGGTCCTAGCATCCTTCGCCACGCGCCTTGTGGAGTTATACCTGACGGCTGGGGTGCTCACAGGTGAGGGCGCCCATGGCTCTCCTCCCTGCGGGGGGTGGCGGCGGGGACGGGAGCCCTTGTTGCAAGACCTCCTGTCCTCGGTTTCCCCATGAGGGTCGTCCTCGAGGTCCCTCTGCTCAGTTCCCGGGGGTCTGCCCGCCCCGTCGCCCTCCCCGCTCCAGCTGGCGGCTAGGCGGGTGGGGCGCCCTCGGGAGCCTGGCACAGCGCCGCCTCGCCCGCAGGCCTGGGCCTGGCCCTCAACTTCCAGCCGTCGCTCATCATGCTGGGGCTGTACTTCGAGCGCCGGCGGCCTCTGGCCAACGGGCTGGCGGCGGCGGGCAGCCCGGTGTTCCTGTCGGCGCTGTCGCCGCTCGGCCAGCAGCTGCTCGAGCGCTTCGGCTGGCGCGGCGGCTTCCTGCTGCTCGGCGGCCTCCTGCTGCACTGCTGCGCGTGCGGCGCCGTCATGCGGCCGCCCCCGGGGCCTGGGCCGCGGCCGCGCGGGGACAGCGCGGGCGAGGCCCCCGGGGAGGCGGACACGGACGGCGCGGGGCTGCGCCTGCGCCAGGCACCCCCCGGCGGCCGGCCCCGGCGGCGCCTGCTGGACGTGGCCGTGTGCGCCGACCGCGCCTTCGCGGTGTACGCCGTCACCAAGTTCCTGATGGCGCTCGGGCTCTTCGTGCCCGCCATCCTGTTGGTGAACTACGCCAAGGACGCGGGCGTGCCCGACGCGGACGCCGCCTTCCTGCTCTCCATCGTGGGCTTCGTGGACATCGTGGCGCGGCCGGCGTGCGGCGCCCTGGCCGGCCTGGCGCGCCTGCGCCCGCACGTCGCCTACCTCTTCAGCCTGGCCCTGATGGCCAACGGGCTCACGGACCTGAGCAGCGCGCGCGCGCGCTCCTACGGCGCCCTCGTCGCCTTCTGCGTCGCCTTCGGCCTCTCCTACGGCATGGTGGGCGCGCTGCAGTTCGAGGTGCTCATGGCGGCCGTGGGCGCGCACCGCTTCCCCAGTGCGCTGGGCCTGGTGCTTCTCGTCGAGGCCGTGGCTGTGCTCATCGGACCGCCCTCTGCCGGTGCGCCCCGCGGGAGGAGAGGGGGCCGCGGCCTAGGGCCCCAAAGTCCGAGGGCAACCCCCTCCCTGTACCAGATGGTACATCCGGGGATGTACCATGGGTGGAGACAGCCTGGGGGGACGCCCCTTCCCGTGGCCAATTAGCCCCTGCTCCAAGCCGGTACCCCTAGCTCTGGGTGAGGACGGAGAAGCCAGGAAAGGTGCCAGGAAGGACCCAACACTGCCAGCGGGTGGCTCACTAGGTCTCCGGCAGGTGGCCCAGGTGCTTACTCTCCTTTTGCAGATGGGGGAACTGAGGCACAGAGGCCTAGTTTAAGTTGCAGTCCCAGAATTAGATGGAAGCCCCACCCGGTGCTGAAGGCCTGTACCTTTGAAACACTGCGTCTGGGCACCTTAGTCTCCCCAGCCTCTGAGGGTGACTGGAATAGGGACAGCGTCTTGGGGAACCAGGAGCAGAGTGGGGGTGCTCCGTGTGCTCATGGGGAGAGGCACAGAGGTCTCCCAGTGTGCACATCTACTGGGCACCCTACATACATCATGTCTTGGGGAGTCATCTCGAGGAGGGTGGTCCGGGAGGGCTTCCTGCAGGGGCTGGCGTGAAGAAGCCCACAGGAGAGGTCGTGTTTGGGGACAGTGTTCCTATACAAGTGAGGCAGGAGGCAGGATGGGAAAGGTGGGGGTGGGGGGATATTAGAGTCTTCCTGGGTTGTTAGGTTTTCCAGAAACGGCAGGAAGCCTGCGTGTGAGCAAGAGAGAGCTGAGGTCAGGCTGCGGGAGGGAGCAATGACAGGGGGAGGCCACCTTGGCTGGGGGCCCAGGAGGCACCTGTGGTGGGGTGAGCTGCACGTCCTTCCAGGGTGGGCTAGCTGAGTGCCCCTCATCTCACCGACCCAGCGGGAACCACCAAGCTCCTGAACCTGTCCGGGCCCTGTGTGTGGGCAGCCCGCAAGCCCACCACCAAAAGCCACACCACCAGCCCCCCAGATGCTCAGGGAGCCATCCTCCATTTTCTTGTGTGACCCTGGGGTGGATGTAAGAGGCGGAGAAGGCTCATGGGGTGAGAAGGTGAAGGACCCTACAGGGCTGCGTGTGGGAGGGACAGGGACAGCACTGGCTGGCTGGGTGGGGACCAGGAAAGCAAGGTTGGGGGAGCACTGCTCAGGGGCTCAGCTGGGCAGCCGGCTCGGGGGACACCAGGGAACCTCCCCAAGACCACAGAGATGCAGACCGAGGGGTCACAGCCAGGTGTGGACACAAGAATGCCCCTGAGAGAGGGGCAGCCCACAGAGGAACCACGCTTTAGGGGAAAATACTTGGAATTAAAAGATTTTCCTGAGTTTGAAAGTAAGATTTGCCTGTGATAGGAAACTTGAAAAATACAGAGGAGGAAATAGGAGTTACCGACCCATAAGCCCTGCCCCCAGCCCGTGCCCGACAGTTCAGTCTGGGGTCCCCGGGGCCTCCTGGGAGGGCGGGGGGAGGTCTTGGGGGGTGGAGGGGAGAGCTGAGCCAGGCTCCTGAAGACCAGGGGGGTTGAGTGGAAAGGGCAAGAGTTGGGGGCTCCCAGGAGAGCAGGGCTGAGCCCAGTGCCCCCTCCCACTCCCACCCAAATATCCCCAGCTGGCAAGTCACGGGGTGCGTGTGGGGCTTGAATCCAGGGTGCAGGAGGTGCCTTGTAAACTGTAAAGTGCGGCCTCACCGAAGGCCCCGTATTACTTCAGAAATTGAGGTCCAGGGAGGCGAAGTGACAGTTTTAAGGCCTCAAATGGCAGAACTTGTGGAGGGTTTTGCGTCTGTAAAATGGGGTCCCCGCAGGCCCTTACCACCCGGTCCCCCGCAGGCCGCCTGGTGGACGCACTGAAGAACTACGAGATCATCTTCTACCTGGCCGGCTCTGAGGTGGTCCTCGCAGGGGTCTTCATGGCTGTGGCCACCAACTGTTGCCTGCAGCGCTCTCAGGACGCCCCACCCAGCCCAGGCACGGACGGTGGGGCCAGTGACACCGAGGACGCTGAGGTCGAGGACGCAGAGGCCCGAGGGGACTCTGAGCCCCTGCCCGCCTGCGCTGAGGAGCCCAGCGGCCTCGAGGTCGTGGAGGTGCCAAGCCCAGGGTCTGGGCCCTCGGAGCCCGAGGTGGAGGCAGAGCCAGGAGTGGACCCCGAGCATGTATAGAGCGGGGGAATTAGGTGGAGTGGCTGGTGACTTTCCCCCTCAGAGTCCTGGCTGCCCCGAGGGCCTGGCACACTGGAGGCTGCTTTGGGGTGGTCACCCTGGGGTCCACGCGGGGAGTTGCTTCCCTCTTCTGCCCGTTGGGCCATGGCCAGGCCCTCCTCCCGCTCGGTGAAGCTGCTGTGTGCGGACTGGGTCTGGGCCTGTGTGAAACTAAAGGTCATAAAGCTCAGCTGAAAACAGGAGCTGGACGGAGGGCTCAGTTTCTGCGCCTCCGCTTGGCCCTGGCTGCTCCCTGGCGGGATGGCGTAGGAGGGAGTCTGAGAGGCTCTTCCCCGGACCCTCTGACCAGGCGGGGGCTGGGGGAGGAAGTGGCAGAGATGGAGGATGGGTGGGAGAAGGTGTTCCCAGGCTGAGTGGCAGTAGGGGTGGCCCCGTGGCTCAGAGCTGTGCACAGAAGCCCGGCTGGCAGCACCTGGCGCTGGAGGGGCCCAGAGCAGTCTGAGAAAGAATGCAGGTCCCAGAGTCCGGGCTGGGATGAAGCCTGGCCCTGAGCCTCGGAGATTGACAGTAAATGACTTATCCTGTGACACACCCTTAGAGTGTGGGGCCAGCACCTGCCCTGCTGCCTTCTGCAAGGCATGCCTGTCCCCTCGCCTTCCTGAGGGACCCTCACCCAGCCAAGCTCCGGTCTCTGCTATGTAGGAGATAAACTCAGGTCCTGGGGGCTTTGCTCTGGACCCGTGTCCCTGTGGACATCACCGTGGCTCTGTGAGCAGCCCAGTCCACCCACTGACCCTGGCATCTGCTTCCCCGTAGGGGGTCTCGGGGACATCTCCTCTCTTGCATTTGATCCAAGCACAGGGAGCTCCAGGGTCAGGCTGGCTGAGCAGACTGGGGGATCTATTTTCTCCATGTATTCTCGTCCCACAGATTTGACACTCCTGTCCTTGCCTCCCTTCCTCCAATCAGGAGCGTGGTGACCAGGCCCCAGCGGAGGAAGTGGCCTTCCCCCCGCAGACCCCTGCTCCGTCCAGCCAAGCTCCTCAGGAGGGCCCATCCCCCTGGTGACCCCTCCCTGTTGGCCTCCTTTCCGCCCGGGCCCCAGGAGGGTGCGGGGAGCCCTTGCGGGTGACCTGCGCTGCGTGCGTCTGCCTTCTCCCCCGGGCGTTAGAGTAGTGACCACAGCTTTATTTTATTCAACAAATACCCACGGAGTGCTGCCGCTATGCCCGGCACGGTTCTGAGCCCTTTACAAATGTTAACTCATCTAATCCTCATGACGACCCAGTGAGGTAGGTACCATTATCAGCCACACTCACAAACAGGGACACTGAGGCACAGGGAGGTTAGGAAGTAGCCCAGGGTCAGAGGCTGTGCCCTTGGCCTCCACGCTGGCTGGCCCCTCAGAGAGGTGGTGCAGTCTGGCAGCTCGAGGGGACCCACGTGGACTCCCGGTGACAGCCCATCCCTCCCTCATGCTCCCAGTCCTGCCTGAGAACCCCACTCAGCTTTCTGCCCAGGGCCCGCATACTCAAAGCGAACAAGCAGAAAACTTTGCTCCCGCATTGGGACTCTCCCACCCCTCGCACCCTCTTGTACCCCTCCCTTTCTCAGGATGACCATCTAATTCATTGTGCAAACAGGCCCACTTTGAGAGTGAAAAGGGCCTCTAGTAACAGTTATACGAGGTGTGGCCTGGGACTGTCCAGAGGAAGCAGGACGCACGGCCACCCTGTGTGAGCCACTTTGCAAAGACGTGGAGTACTGGCGTGGTGCTGTCCGCTGGGCTGCTCCTCACGGCCCTGGCAGACCAGGTGCACCTGGAGTGGCTGGAGCACCCAGAACATTCTCTCCCCTATTTGGGGCCTCGGGTCCTGACCCAGTGTCTGGCCTGCCCCTCCCCAAATAAAGGCTTAGTTCATGGCCAGAAGCACTGAAGGATCAAAGCTCAGGGAGGATGGCAGATGCTCCACAGAGCAGGAAGCTCGGAGGTAGGGAGAGTCCAGTCATTTGGACCTGACAGATCTGAGTCCAAATTCCACTCTATCCTTGTACCTGGTATGGCCTTGAGCAAGATTATTCTGAGCCTCAGTTTCCCATCTGTAAATGGGGAGAGTAGTGCTAATCCACAGAGCCGCGGTAAGGAACAGGTGATGTATATAAAGGGAATGTCAGTAAGCCTTGTCGCCCCCTCCATTGTGACCAGGGAGGCAGAGGGCTGTCGAGGAGAGGAAGGTCTGAGGCCACTGCGAAGAGCCCGGCTCCATCTGGGTTTGTGTTTATTCAATACAGGCCCAGCACCCAGCCCTCCCCCTGGGAAGGGGCTGAGCTAGGGGAATAAATAAATAAAGGCCGCCGAGGTGTGAGTGTGGACTGGGGCGGGGCCGGCCCGGGGCCTGTGAGGGGGCACATGACACATGGCCCCAACCTCAGCTGGCCATCCTGGGCCCCCGCTCCCAGGAGGCTCCAGGTGGGGCCAGTGGAGGTGCCCATGAGGAACGGGTCCTGGACTTCCTGCCACCTCCAACCCCTCCTCCTCTCTGCCCTCTCTCTAATTCCTAAGGCAGGTCCCGAGACCAAGCTCTCCATCTGGCCAGGGAGGCAGGGAAGGGAGAGGGGGCCGGTGTCCAGGTGCCAGGCCACAGCCCCCATGCCATTCCTGGGCAGGAGCCCGGGCTCATTGTGCTAGGACAGAGTAGCAGGGAGGCAGGCGCCCCAAGCCAGCAGGCCTTTATGCGCCACCCTGTCGTGCGGTGGCCCTGCCCCCGCTCCCAGGCTGATGACGTCCTCCCACGCCCCTACCCCCCAGATCGGCACCCCTCGGGGGCACTCAGGAGTCACACCAGCTCCCACCCTTGTCCAAGGGCCCGGCAGCCCCTTGTGCATCCCTGGACGGCTCCCCAGGTGCTGTGTCCTCATCGTCTTCGTCCTCCTCGTCCTCCCCATCGGTGAACTCGTCCTGGTTGAGGCCGTAGGCCAGCGTGGTGTGGGCCAGGTCCACCTCGATGGGGAAGACGTCAGCGTCACGCAGCACCGCGTAGCAGTCGTTGTAGTACTTGGACATGGTGGACACGAAGCGCTGCAGCTGGAACACGATGTCCTGGACTGGGGCAGGAGGGCCGGCAGACGCACAGTGGCCGCGGCTGCCTGCCACGCAGAGAAGACCCTCCAAGGCTGCCTGGGCCCGCCTCCCTCCCCTGGGCTTTCCATCATGCACCTCACTGACCCGTCCCGTCCCAGGAGCGGGCAAGGCCAGGACTGCCTGGCCCAACACAGAACCAGGTCTCCCAGCTTCTAGTTCAGGGACTGGAGGAGCCCTGCCAGGGTGGGTGGACTGCGGACTGCACAGGGCATGGAGCAGGCCCACCCAGGCCGGGCTCCAGGAAGGTGGGTGGCTCCTGCCAGGGCGTTCCACCTCAGGTCTGACTCAAAGCTCTGCCATGGCCTGCCCGGGGACCCCAGGTAAGTACTTCACCTGCCTGGGCTGCAGTTTTCCAAGCTCTGAGATGGGGAGAAGATGGTACCCACCAACCACACCAGGATAGTACAGGGACTGACTGAGGTAGCGCGTGCCCCTCAGGCCCCCAGTGCCTACATCCCTCACCGTGCTTCTGGTCCAGCAGCTCCATCTTCTCCAGCACGTCCTTGCGCATCTGGGAGAAGCGGGCGCGGGCCTCCTGGCGGCAGCGCAGGATCAGGCGGTACTCGTAGTTGCCTGTGCTCACGCGGTACAGGGGCTCCCCTAGGGCCTGGGGCAGGAAGGAGCACATCAGGGACCCTAGGCCGGGCAGAAGGCTGCCCTGGGACAGATGGGAGCAGGGGGGCTACAGAGCCCGCCCACCAGCTCGTACCCTGCCACCACCCAGCCCTTTTCAAAGCTCCCGGGGCTCCCGGTGTCTGAGCCGCCAGGGATTGCTGGAAGCACCTAGTAAGAGATTTGCGAGGACAGAAGCCAAGCCCTCGCCTCACTAAATAAATGGACGTTTAGTCATGAGATGGATCCTGACATCAAAAATATTAAAAATTAAAAATGCCTCTTAGGAGTGAGGAAAATCGTTTTTCCCCGCAAAGGCCTCACAAAGGCGGTGGGGGCGGCCGGTCTGGGCGCGGCCTGGGAGCAGTCCCACAGCAGGCTGGCCCGCACTCCGATGCCCAGAGGGGCTGGGGGTGGGGATGGACAGCCCCCAGTCTCCAGAAACAAGGGCCCGGCCCAGTCCCCCCGGCCTCTCCTGGGCTGGCCCGACCCAACTGGTGTCCTCAGCAGACCCAGGACGTTTTTGGGGCTCTGTGAGGCAGCCAGGGGAAGTTTGTACCCCGAGCCCTGCCAGCACCAGGGCTGCGCCCCCACCCCTGTGACACTCACGATGCAGCTGTATTCCTCATCGTCCATCTCCTTCACCTTCAGGCAGTATGACTGAGGAACAGGTGAGGCCAGGCTGTCAGTCACTGCACCTCCTGGATGCCCACCCTGATGTCCCTAGTCCCTCCCACACCAGTCTCCTAGGCCACCCAGAGGAGCTGCCATGCCCAGCCTCCTGGGCCCTGCAAACCCCCAGCTTGGATCAGCTGAGACACAGCAGGGAGAGGCTGGCACCTCAGTAGACTGGCCCCTGCTTGGGGAGGCCCAGGGCAGAGTGGCTGCGGGCAGGAAGGGCCCTCAGCTGGGAGGGTGGGGAGGACCCGAGAGACAGCCCAGCATTTATCAAACTCAAGCCCCAAGGGATGCTCAGGGGAGAAAAGGGTCCCACGGTCAAAAGAGCTTGGGAAGGCCCTTGAAGACTCAGATTGCACTCAGCCCTCTCAAAGGCTCTGAGAAGTCCTGCAGCAAAAGAGCTTTGGCTTGCTTAGTGGAGCATTTTTCCTCAACTCCTTTGATCACAGAATTATTACATAAACATAAAACTCATTAACCTCCCTTGGCACCCACTTTATAACCACTGACCTAGTTTAACCCATTGTTAAAAGTGACCAAAAACTCCCAAGGGGTCAGAGAGGGCTGTGCCCACCCCAGGCTCCCAGCCTCCCAGAGGCTCCTCTGGGCAGTGGGGGTGGGGTCTAGGCTGCTGCTGGAGTCCCCAGCACCTCCCCAGACCCCTGGTCCTACATCCTCAATCAGACGTGACAGAGGCCCTGGCCCCTCCTGCTGGATATCCTGTGGCCGACTGAGGGGGGAGGGGCCACCCCCAGGTGGGCTCTCAGCCCAGCAGGCCAGACGCGGCCCTCCCCAGAGCTGGAGAGCACCCACCAGGTACTCAAACTTCACGTCCAGGTACTTCTTGATGGTGAGGCGAGTGTCCGGGATGGCTTTGTTGAGATACGTGTTCAGGTCCGTCAGCATCTGGGAGGGGAAGACGGGACGGACACTTAGGCCCCCATGGGCACGGGGGTCCAGGGTGACAAAGAATGGCACTGATGCATCAATCCTTCCAGCGGACTCAGGTGTCAGAGCCAAAGGACGCCCCCAGATGGCCTTGTCCATCTCAAAGATGAGAAGACAGGCCGGGCCAAGGGCAAGCCGAGACTCAGTGGTGGAGCCAGGACCAGAAACCAGCTGGAGGTCAACGCCGAGGCTGAGGAAGCAGAGTGACTTACCCACAGTCAGCTGTGTAGGCGACCAAGCAGAACCTGCAGCCAGGCGTGGCGACTCCAGTGCAGGACCCTTGCTGCATGCCACACTGTCCCCTCACTGCCCTCACCTGCTGACACACGTGCACTCGACATGACCTACCGGCTTGATGGTTTTCAGCAGCCGGATGCCGAACTTCTCAATGCTGCGGTGGGCATCGGCGAACTTCACAAAAGCCTCGCTCGCGGCCGGCTGTGGCTCCCGCACCCCGATCACAGAGAACACGTCCCCGAAGGCTGCACGACAAGTTTGCCCTGAAGGCCGCCCCTAATCGACCCTTAACAGGGAAGCCAGGGATTTGACGGGTAGAAGCAGGGTGGGGGGCATGGCAGGCTGGAGGCCAAGGTCTGCACAAGGGAGCTGGGTCTGCACCTCAAGGGAGCTGGGTCTACACCACAGGGAGCTGGCCCTCATTCCCCAGAGTGACCAGACCCTGGGAGAAGGCCAGGTCAAGGTTGGGGGAGGTGTTGTCTGAGGGCAGTGCACTGGTCTTGGAATCTGGACGCTTGGGTCCTAAGGCCACTCTGCCCCTAAGGAGCCATGTGACCATTTCTTCTGTCGGGGCTTCAATTTCCCAACTGTAAAACGGGGTGAACCGTAGCCGTCCTGCCCCGCTAACAGACCTGGGGGAAATGAGACCATGAATAAGGCAGGGCTCCTATGCTGTAAGTGGCAGTGCAGACACGTGGGACGGGGCTGGATGGGTGACTGCACCCCAAGAAGACGAGCTGGTCTAGATGCTTGCCACTGGCCCCCGTTATTGCTACCTCCCAGCATCTAGACAATGCCCAGCCCGAACCTGGCCCGAGCTCAGATGCTGTGGTGTCTGTCTGAGCACAGGCGTGAGGGAGCTCCAGGGAGGAGCTGGCCACACCCTCACTGGATGGGGGCGCCGAGCCCAGAGCACGGCAAGGGCTTTCCCAGGGTCACACGGCAGGTTTGGGGCGCCCTTACCCCGGTGTGTCTGCGACAGCTCATAAAAAGCCCGTAGAAGGTTCTTGGTGTGTTCTGTCATCCCTGTAGGAGAGACACGACCAAGGAGGATGTGGGCACATGGTGGGGACCACACGGGCCCACAACATGGCCTCCAACCCCACCAGAGGCCCTCACTGTTACTGGGTTCACCGACTTTTCCCACAGCCCCACTGGGGCTCAGCCCCACCGTGAGGAGCCCCCATCAGACAGCGGAGCCGAGACTTCACGGGGCAGAGGGTGAGCAAGGCCTCCGACAGCCTCACGCCTCGGCAGAGTGCGGTTCTGGGGGCTCCCCGATGTTTACGTGTGCTATTATTTGAATTTTTATGAGTCCCTAGAACTTTTATAATCAGAAAAAGTATGTCTTAAGACTTTTTTCCCCTTAATAATTCTTAATGGCTATGGTCCTAGAATCTTGTAGGCTGGCACTCCTGCCCCCTATTGCCACCATCTTCAGAGCAGGGCTCTCAAGCTCCACCCCCAGGCAGAGCAGTGCCGGGCATCTCTGGACGAGGTCACCCCTACCCACCACCAGGTGCCAGTGTGGTGTGCCTGCCCACCTTTATACAGCTCAGCCGTCCGCTCCAGCTCCTCGAGCCTCTTGACAAGCCCATCTGTGGGGGTCGGAGAGAAGGGGCGGTCAGTCGGTCTTGGCGAGCCAGGGGTGAGGAACGAGAGCCAGGAGAGGCTGAGCCCGGCTTGAGAGGGGAGAGGCAGCCCCCAGAGGAGAGCCAGGATCAGCACCGAAT